CAAGGATTTCATTTTTTTTTATTTTTATTTTTGATTACAGCTTGATTTCACACTGTATTTTTGGTACAAGTGTGGAATTTTCAGAGTGGATATCGGTAGCCCAATATTCGCAGGCCGACCATAGACATCAGGTGTGCGTCGGCGTGGGCTCGAACCCCGGACCATGTGCATGGTCGGCGAGAGTCCTAACCACTGTGCCACCGACGGATAGCAATCGAGGTGATCAAAATATTAATGACAGTAACAAAGATAAATTCATTCAAGCGTTTATGATAATCTAGGCAATGATGAGTGTATAGGTAGAATGTCTATACTAGTAGGAATTCGCACCAAAATAAGGACTAGACACATTATACTAATTACAAACATCGACATTATGTTGTGTGTTGACTAACTCCAGAAGTCTCTGGTCAGCAAATTTTCGAGAAGTATCCAACAAATCTTAGCACTCAGATATGAATTTATTTTACAAATCTAATTGTTTTCCTTTTATCTGCTGTTTGTTATCAGCATTTCGAAAATATATAGCATCCCGTGAATTATTATTTTGCATTCCATTGTAATGTAAGTAATGTAAGCTGGAAATTCAAGAAAAAATCAATACCAGTTGACTCCATTAATTTCACCATGACACATCATACATGACACAGTTTATACGTCATGTCATATACGTGACAATTGGTGGCACTTCAATAACTATTAATCATTGGTATAACTGAGTTGGTGGTGATAGGCAGCAGAGGAATCCAAGGTCCAAGTTTCCTCATATTTACCACCCACCTCTCAATTGTATATACCTGCATCCCTAGTGAGTGATGGCATTCCCATTAACCCAGTACTAATGATTTCAAATTAGCCTAGAATTATACACTTGGTTATTGAGTCATGAGAGAAAGCTTTTGTATATTCGATACATTTTTCTGGCATATGATATATTTCATGTGTAGAAGGATGTAAGATGCTGCTACAGGACTGGACCACGTCAATCCCTAACTTAGTGATAGGGAGTGAAGTGATAGAACATGTTGACCACTTCACCTACTTGGGAAGTTGTATTAGCACCAACGGACTGATTGGCGATGAAATCTCAGCACGGATCCGAAAAGCTCGAGCTGCTTTCGCTGACTTACACCATCTCTGGCGTAGGCGTGACATCCGGTTATCAACCAAGGGACTTGTGTACTGCTCATCAGTTCGCTCCGTCCTTGTCTATGGCTCTGAAACATGGCCAATACGCGTTGAAGACATGAAAAGGTTGACTGCTTTCGATCATAGATGTCTGCGATCTCTGTCTCACGTTAGGTGGTTTCACAAGATAAGTAATGTTGACGTTAGGCGTAGAATGTTGGGCAAAGAGGGAAAATCAATCGACGAGGCTATAAAGTTACATAGACTAAGATGGCTAGGTCAGGTGGTGCGCATGCCTAACCACCGCCTCCCCCGATGGGCTTTGCTAGCTGATATAGGTTCAGGTTGGAAAAGAGCCAGTGGTGGCCAAACAAAAACATGGCCTCATCAATCCATGAAATCCTTGACAGTTAAACTGAGTCAAGTAGGGAGATGCAGACTTCCGGGTTGGGGCCCTCGGGACTCTAGGAATCAATGGCTGGAGACAGTAGGTGACATGGCTCAAAATCGTTGTCAATGGCCAGCGCACATGTATTCAGTCTCTGTAATCTTTCATATTCCTTTCTACAATTACCCACTCTGTTTCACTCTTATATTTGTCAAACTCTATGGATTCTCTTCACTCATCTTCTTGTCTACCTTGTGTGCCAATTGGAACGTGGCAACTCGAACTGCTGCACTTCGGTGTCAAGTTCTATGTTGAATCCAGACAGACAGAAGGAAAGGATATGCTGTGTAATTCCTTTGGTTCGTTTAAGAGATTCTCCAGAATTATATTCACCCATAAGATTCCAGTTCATTTGATTTATCGTATTCCTTTTGACAATTATAACTGAGAGAAAGGCTGTTTAAAGACACATGACTTCATAATTTATTAGCCTTCTAGCCTCTTTAGTATTACTGTACAAAACAGGAATGTCAGAGGCCATACGTAGGCCTTTCAATCAGGCCGGAATTAGAGTGACATTTAAACCAAACAACCAACCAAATAACTTTCTCAAAGATAAAATTTGTCGGCTTGAAGACCCGATAGATCCATTTAAGATAAATAATATAATTTACCAATTGCCATGTCATGTCCACGCCTAGTTTAAAAATAGGAAGTGAAGTGGTAGAGCACGTTGACCGCTTCACTTATTTGGGAAGTACCATCAGCCACAACGGGCTGATCTCTGACGAAATCTCAGCACGAATACAAGGGGCTCGTTTCGCATTTGCCAGTTTACGCCGACTCTGGCGTAGACTAGATGTTCGACTATCGACCAAAGGGCAGGTGTACTGCTCATCAGTCCGCTCCGTCCTCCTTTATGGTTGTGAGCGAGACCTGGCCACTGAGAGTGGAAGACGTGAAAAGGCTAGCTACCTGTCTTTGATCATAGGTGCCTGCGCTCTATTTCCCGTGTAAAGTGGCATAATAAGGTGAGCAACATCGAGGTTAGGCGTAGAGTTCTGGGTAAACAGGGGAAATCAATCGACGAAGTCGTGAAGTTACAAAGACTGAGATGGTTAGGACATGTGTTACGTATGCCAAGTCATCGCCTCCCTCGACGAGCAATGTTAGCAGATATAGGGTCAGGCTGGAAAAAAGCTAGCGGCGGTCAAACAAAAACTTGGAACCAGTCAATGAAATCCACAACAGTTGGTCTAAGCCACGTAGGAAGGTGTAGACTTCCAGGCTGGCTGGGGTCCTCGGGACGGTAAAAATCTATGGTTGGAAACAATTGGTGACATGGCTCAAAATCATTCTCAGTGGCTAGCGCAGATGCATCCACTCCTTGTGACTTATGATTTCCAATGAAACTGTTTTGTTTTTCTTTATTACTCCTTTGTCTCACACCTCTGCTCACTGTTTCTATTATGCTTTTCTTGTACTTTCTTCTCTTGCTTCGTGTGCTACACGGAGTGTGACGACTTGAACTTCCGCACATTTGTGCAAAGTTCTATGTCGAAAACAGAGAGACAGACATGTTATGCTGCCTGTGAGTGAGATCAATTACATAAGTCAGCAAACTAGTAGATCGGGGTCAATTAGATTATTGGAACAGAAACTTTTAGCTAGACGTAAAATGATTGACCCTAGTAAGTTAAATAACCTAGAAAAAAGCTCAGTCACTGCATTCCATTCACTCGCATATAATCACACAGTAAGCTGGGACAGGGTGACTGTGATAAAAAGTAATGCGGTTAGGTGAAGAGACAAATAGAGGTTAATCAATGAATCTCTGTTTATCAACACAGTACAAATGCAATCGAAATGATACAACGCCTACACTGGAGATGTGGAAAGTGGCACCAAACAACAAGGGGAAGATGAATAGAGACGGATATATGTACATATATAAGAGAAATTATGAAGCCACGTGACTAAATTGATGTGATTATGAGCAGCGATAATTTATGCTCCAAATCTTGTCATCCAGTCGCTAATGCTGCAACATCACTGTGTCATTTCAGATAAACTTATTTCATATGGAATTACATTCTACCACAGTTCCAAAGTTCTACGCTTACTTTAATAATGCAATGTGTAACCATTCTGTTTTCCTAATGAAATTGCTACTTTATCTATTGATTTTGAAATTATCCATCGCTTACTTACGCCACTCCTTCAATGAATTCGGACCCTTTTAATTAACTTGAACTATCTGTATAACCAATATATGTATCTTATGAGCACAATTTGTTTATTATTTTGAGTCTCCTGTTATCTGACATCGTGTCATCTTTCCATGTATGTTTCTCTATGGATAAATTTAAATATGAATCTGTTTATTTAATTTGAAGTAAATTAGTGGACGGTAACCAAGGTGTTATCCATTAGACCATTTGAGCCATGTGAGTCAGCGACACTTCGTGCAATGGGTACCAGTTGTTATTGAATCGACTTTAGACTTTTCCATTGAATGATTTGACTTAAGATGCTAAACCTTTGCCTGACATAGGACGACATGCACGTTGTCCTGGATTCCAGTGCTAGTCACCGCCATCCATCAAATAAATTCAAGTTAAATCTTCAGACATCAACGAAATATCTGCACAAAAAGCCGATATGTTAACTTGACGCTAAGTCCTTCAGTCGAATCGATCAACAGGAAAGTCTTAAGTGAATTAAATTAAACTTGTATAGGTTGTATAAGTCCGATGAGGTTTCATTCGATCATATCCGATATTGATGATGATTCAACTACAGGCAACAGAACGTATGATGATACCAAATCTAGGATTGGAAAGGCAAGACATACCTTCATCAATCTGAAATCAGTTTGTAAATCTTCTGCACACTCTAGCATATACAACAAATAAAATTCGAATTTTTAACATCAATGTTAAATCAGTCACTTCTTCAATATGGGTCAGAAACTTGACACATGTGTCATGGAATTCATTTCCAACAGTTAGGTGCAGACCTTCATCAACAGCTGCCAACTTCGTTGACTCCATATTGAACAAAAAGCAACTAAGGGAGCAAACAAACAAACCAAGAACCTATTGCCCAACAAATATACATGAGGAAATGGAAATTGGTCTTCCACACACCTAAGAGAAGGTTGGTTGATATCGCACTCAATGCAGGCTATAGCTCGAGTGGAACCTGTACGGTAAACGATGAGTGTGTCATCCAAGGGTGATATGGATGAGATCGTATAAGGAGGAGGATGAAGAGGAGATGAAAGACTACAGGCAAATCTAGGGGCCAGTCGAAGACGATCGTAGAGAATAGGGCAAAGGGGAGATGTACTTTTGAAGTCCTATGTTCCTATCAGGCCCCAAGAGAACAATAGGAATAATAACAATAATGATGTAATCGTTCATCATTATTCTTTGACATAGTACGTAAACAAATAAACTACATCATTCAAAAAGCGACTCACTTCTTTATACAGTAGTAATATATCTGAGATAGTATTAGTATTAATGATAGTAATAATAATAATTATTATTATTATATGCTCACAAAATAGTATTAATCTCCCCACAAAGGATCACATGAAAAAAGCAAATATATTGTGCTGGTCAAATCAAAATTGAAGAATGAATTTCATGGATTATTTATTCTTCCTCACAGTGTGTATTTGTGTGTCTGTGTGGATTAATATTATATACAGCAAACAGTCAGTCCGTCAATCCCAGAGATTGGTTTGTTTTAAAAGTCTTGTAATTGGCCTTTAGTTAAACAAAGTACACTAATTGTGACACGCCTTGTTTTAATAGTGTTTATATGTGTATATTTGCATGCGCGCCAATATATTTACACACACACACTATACACTGGGTGTGACTATAAAATAAATTTTTAACCTGTAATTTTGAGTTTTTTCACATCTTATCCCTGTTGAAGGTAATTTTTCCTTCTTCCTATTGGCTAGTTGTAAGAATGATGAGTCATATGACCTTGCCAGTTATACATATTCAATAAAGCCACTGTTGTGTGAACCAATGATCGCTTCGTGTGAGATAAAATTTAATCTGATTGGTCAGTAATTCGCTCATTACGAACACACAACATGAGCATCTAAAAATGTAATAAGAAAAGCAACAATAATAATAATAATAATTTCATAGATTTGGTTCTCCTGATAAGTTTCAATAAAGAAATACCGGGTTTGCGTCGGTGGCACAGTGGTTAGGACTCTCACCGACCATGCACATGGTCCGGGGTTCGAGCCCGCGCCGACGCACACCTGATATCTATGGTCGGCCTGCGAATTTTGGGCTACCGATATCCACGCTGAAAATTCCACACTTGTACCAAAAATACAGTTTGGAATCAAGCTGTAATCAAAAATAAAAAAAATAAATAAATGAAATGATATCATCATTCTATTTCACAGTTCTCATCACCTGCCGTAGACTACTTGAAAATACAACATATTTCAATGTTTGAATGGTAGTAGAGAAAGTATTAAAAATCAACGTATTACAATTGGCTTTTGTTGCCTTTTTGCCTGGAGAGAATCAAACATGCCGACCTGGATGAAAAACTTCGACCAGAACAGGCTGGATTCAGGAGAAACAAATCATGTATTGATCAAATCGCCACACTACGAATCATCAATGAACAAAGCTTGGGGTGCCAGTCACCTCTCTATCTCAACTTCATCGACTTCGAAAAGGCCTTCGACAGCGTCGACCGAGAGGTGATTTGGCAACTACTTCGCTACTACAGGGTTCCATTGACAATTATACATCTCATCCAACAGTTATACGACAATGCTGCATGCCAAATAATCCACAATGGGAAACTTACCGAAGCCTTCGAAGTGAGGACGGGAGTGCGACAAGGCTGTCTACTATCGTCAATGATCTTCCTGATTGCAATTGATTGGATAATGCGACAGACAGCGGGCAATGATGAAACAGGCATAAAATAGACTCAAAAAAACTTGGAGGATCTGGAGTTCGCCGATAATATATGTCTGATTTCCCACAAACTGGAAGATATGCTAGTGAAAAGCAACAAGCTGCCAGAAGCATCAAAGATAGGCCTTACTTCAGTGAACAAAGAGAAAACAGAGGTGATGAAGATTCCTGGCCAACACCAACAGCAACAACAATCAGCCAGCATAAATGAGAATAACCTGAAGGAAACAACCTCCACTACCGACCGACCGAAGCATCGTTTCAACTACAGGCCGACGGAACTGACGAGGATATCAAAGCAAGAATCGGGAAAGCAAGACAAGCTTTCATTACTCTTAAGTCTTTGTGGAAGATCAACAGCACTCAGCATCGAAAATAAGATCCGGATTTTCAACTACAATGTGAAGTCAGTCAGTGCTACTCACTATACGGATCAGAGACTTGCACTGCGCGTCATAAAGAGCATCTCAAACAAACTACACACATTCATTAACAGTTGTCTTCTCTCAGTACTCAAGATCAGATGGCCGGCCAGAAAAGATCAGCAACAGGGATCTCTGGCAGTAAGTGAACCAGCCAGGAACCGATTGTGCAACGAAAAAGCAGGAAGAAATTGAGATGGATTGGCTGGCCATACTCTGAGGAAACCAACTATCAAGTGACATCACTAGACAAGTCATTGCTCGAGTGGAACCAGGCCGAAAGGGAAGCGGCAAGTCGGTCGTCAGTGCAAGGGTGAGGGTGACTTGGAGGAGGTAATGTGAAGAGGAGATAGGGGCATGTGGGCAGACTTGGAGCGGGGTGAAAAAGTTGGCAGAAAACCGAAGGCAATGGAGACGCGCAGCTGAAGCCCTATGTTTCTCTAGGAATTAAAGGATATAATAATAATATTAATTTTTATCCATATAGAAGAACTGACTTGACATTTGTTTTGAAAATCCTAATTTGTTTTTTAGGGTAAATAGAGAAGATTTTCAAACTGATATCAGAGTGATGAAAGTGTGCCTTTCCTTTCCGATTGTGGCTTTGACATCGTCAAGTATGCTGTCGTCTGTAGTTGAAACAACGCTGCCTGCTCATACAAGAAGTAACCCAAATATCAGTCATGTGAAAACAGGAACCAAGACTGACAGCAGGTTTTGCCTTGGGCGGATACAGTTAACATATAGGTGATCTGACATTCAAGAAACAGCCACAAAGAGATTCAAGGTTAACTTTCTGTGAGAAACAACCAATCAGAAGACTGTGTTTTTCTACTAACAATAATCTATAATAATAATAATAATAATAATGTACATGAAAATCTATAAATATGTGTTGATTTCCTTAATAAATGATCTGTTTCCAGGCCCTTGTCTTCTGATGTTACACTACTACTTACTATAGACATAAGCTTGTTGTTATAAACATAATTGTAATAATAGAGTTGTAGATGAGAATTTTGTTTACAAAAAATATTTGACAGAATAAATATCCAGAGTATATACATCAGAACAATGATTCTATCTTATCTATTTGTCAATAACACTATCTTGAGTGTGAAAAAAGCTTCTATGTTTAGTAATTTATAGAAATTTATCATCATCATCTCATGATTGATATAGTTTATATTGTGTAGTTTTACCTACTGAGAATGTTTGAAATCGTTGAAAAAGAAACCCTGGAGTCAATATGTTGAAGCTGTTGATACCCAACACCAAAAGAAACATGTACATGCATGTAGAGGACTTAACGGAGAGGTCGATAACAATACGAAATATCCGAATAAAAATCCAAGTTAATGAAAGAACATTGAGTCAATGTCTGTCTGTCTCTGTCTGTCTGTTTTCGACATAGAACTTTGCACAAATGTGCGGAAGTTCAAGTCTCCACATTCCGTGTAGCACACGAAGCAAGAGAAGAAAGTACAAGAAAAGCATAATAGAAACAGTGAGCAGAGGTGTGAGACAAAGGAGTAATAACGAAGAACAAAACGGTTTCATTGGAAATCATAAGTCACAAGGAGTGGATGCATCTGCACGAGCCACTGAGAACGGTTTTGAGCCATGTCACCAATTGTTTCCAACCATAGATTTTTCCCGTCCCGAGGACCGCAGCCTGGAAGTCTACACCTTACTACGTAGCTTAGACTAACTGTTAAAGATTTCACTGACTGGTGAGGCCAAGTTTTTGTTTGACCGCCGCTAGCTTTTCTCCAGCCTGACCCTATATCCGCTAACATTGCTCGTCGAGGGAGGCGATGACTTGGCATACGTAACACATGTCCTAACCATCTCAGTCTTTGTAGCTTCACGACTTCGTCGATTGATTTCCCCTGTTTACCCAGAACTCTACGCCTAACCTCGATGTTGCTCACCTTATTATGCCACTTCATACGGGGGATAGAACGCAGGCACCTATGTTCAAAGACAGCTAGTCAGTGTTTACATGTCTTCCACTCTCAGTGGCCAGGTCTCACAGCTGGCCATAAAGGAGGACGGAGCGGACTGATGAGCAGTACACCCGCCCTTTGGTCGATAGTCGAACATCTCGTCTACGCCAGAGTCGGCGTAAACTAACAAATGCGAAACGAGCCCCTTGTATTGGTGCTGAGATTTCGTCAGAGATCAGACAATTGAGTCAATGTATATTCTAGACATGCAGATAACGAGTTATAAAGGTTAACATTATTATATTTTTTTTTCCCTTGGGTTTCGAGTGGAACATATTTCTACTTTGTTGTGTTTTCTGTTCTTCAGCTGGGTCCATGATTGACCATAATCTTTCATCTCTTCCATGTAGACCTCGCATTGACAACCCTTTCGTCGCTTCTCATTCAGATTCCACTCGAGCAATGGCCTGTATTGCGCGCGATGTCATTTGACGGTCTCCTCATCGTGTGCCCGATGCGTCTCCATATTATCCTACATATTTGTTCAGCACTCAGCTCTCCATAGGTTTGTTTCCAGCCGGAGGTTCTTCTTGCTAATTCTTTCTGGTTGGCCGGCAAAGATGACAGCTGTTGATAAAAGTCCACAGCAGTCTGTTGGAAATCCTTTAAGTGGCCCGCCAGTTTATTGACTCTTATAGAAAGAACGATTTCAAACTGGTGTTGGAAATCCGTATCGTGTTCTTTATGCTGACTGAGTGCAAAAGACTTCCAAACTGGTTTCAGGTTGATGAAGTCATATCCTGTCTTTCCAATTCTGATCAGCTTTGGCGTCTTCATTCGTTCCGATGGCCTGTAGTTGAAACGATGCTTCCTGGGTGGATAAGTGAAGGAGGCAACCTCTGTTAAATCTCTCCTGTTGATGGTGATTGGTGCTCGTTATTGTTGTTGTTGTTGTTGCTGTTAATACTTAATTGAAAATACAGTTAATAAGACAATTTACAAATCAATTTCACTGCTGGGGTCGTGCTTAGTGTTAGAAATTGTTTATTTGTTTTGATGAATAGCCTTCGGACGTGTATGATATGTTCCTGAAAATTCCAAAGAATACAACACGGGTATTAGCCGAGCCAGATGACAACATGAACCAATGTGAAGTAGGAGTGATGGATAGCACGGTTGTATTTTTCATTTGAACGCTAAAGTTATATAAATTTGGCAAAAAAAACCCCGATTAAACAAAAGTTACGTACAATATGTCCATTTCTGACATTTAGCAAAAACTGTACAAATTTATTGTTTAGGACGCTACATGCAGTTCAGTCATACAAAATCGCTAAACGTGTAAGACGGTCCAGTGTCTCACTCTGTAAGTTAGCAATACAAGCTTAGATTGCAGCAGGAATAGCTATTTCATTCCAGCTAACTACTTTTACTCTTCAGGAGAAGGAACCTATGAAACTGCTAAGAATCAAGCTACTGACCGTCTGACTACAGGGTCAGAATGGAACCATTCAATTACTTGAATGAAGTAGAAAGCTTCACATGTGATTGCCAATTTC